ACGATTCGCAAACTAAAATTGCATCTCACAAGCTGCCTTTAGATCCGGGTCAAAATGACCTATCTAATTTCATCGGTGCTCTTGGACAAGCGAGAGTATCGTTCATTCATTTACACAGGCGCGTACGCGCGACGGTGGATAACCACCATCGATCACTCGGAGCTGACGTCTCACTCCACTCACCCACTTACCAGTTAATCATGATTATCGTTCACTCGTTTGCACGTTAGTGCGACAGAGGCCATCGATACACCGAATGACGGTGGCATTGGTGATCACTGTAGCAAAACTGACCACATTCCAGTGCTCCACAGTTCAGTGCAGTTCCCCACAGAATTGCAGAAAATAGTACGTCGGCTTTCATGATAAGTTGCTCACCTTCAACCGAAGACAAAACTTACTCCAGTAAATGTTCCCGAAATGATCATACGAAAGACCAAATCAAGCCCTGATCCATTGGTTGTAACATTGGCGAACAGTTCGGAGGCAGCCCTACCAATTCGACGTTCGAGAACACTGCGGCTTGGTTATGGCAAGGGGCATTGTCCATGAATAGTAAAAAATAGAGCGCTTTGAGAAACCGTTTTGCGGTTGACATCGGACCGCCAACTGTGAAATAACGTAGAAGCCACCCATGCATTCTTTGAATTATAGCTGTATGAAGGCTTTTTCTATCTATACCTCGGAAGCATCGTGGAGCTTGAAACTGTCCAATTACCAACGGTGATAACTGTTTTCCCACAAAGCAGTAACGTGACCCTCTCTTTGGATTTCTGGGATCCATAGAATGTCTTTCCTTTCAGACTTAATGTTCTTTATGGGAGCTGCCTGGAATACAAAGCTGTTTCATCTGCATTGAAAATATAACAATCAGCATATCCATTTATCAACTGCGGTAACCCCGCTCAAAACTCGTCCATTTCATTACGTGGTACCACTAAACTTTCCCCACAGACCTATAAGGTAGTGCACATGAGTTTCTTGTTTTTGACTTTGTACGTTTGAACACCATATCCTTCTGACCAAGAGCGAAATCAACCTATGGAGACCTTGAATTTATTAAGATGCGATCTTTGTGCTTGACAACGTATTGAAAATCGGTTCTCGTAGCTCGAGTGAACTGAATTCTATTTTGCCTGTTCACCGAGCTATTTCACAAGCATTGATGGTGTCACCTCGGCTGGCGATGAAACGTTTGCAAACAAATTAACAAGCTCGGCAAACAGGCGAAATATAATCTTTGTGCTTGCTGCATTGCCTTCTTACATATGATGCTCTCCACCATTGGGAACTCTCCGTGCTCGTCCCTCATAGCTGTGACCAAGCCATAGTTGCCTCATTCACTTCCTTGAAATTTTCGTCGGTTTTCAGGTGTCATCTTTCCTCAGATGCTCCAGAGTTCAAAAATTCCCCGGTATTCGTTCGATGGGATACAACATTGTAGACGGTTTTTCGTGAAATTCCAAGTGATTTGTCTACAGGGCTCTGAGTTGCACCTGGGTGTTTCAGCATTTCCAAAACTCCGCTTCTCTCTGATCGATAGGCGCTTGCAAATTTTGACGTCAAATGACGTTGTCTCCGATCACTTACAGCGGTGTGACTTCCTCGCAATGAGTATCCAATCAATGAACAGTGCTATGAACGCATCACACTAGGTGCAACGCCATTGGTTGAGTACGACATTTCAGGGTGTATGATCAATAGTCTTCCCGAGCATCGGTCAACGACCAAGTGAGTAGGTATCAGGAACTGCGACATATTGAGGGGTGAAACATCGCATAGTCAGAAACTACGCTATTAAGCATACGGTTGGTTTAGGTTTCCGAAGAAGTGGGAGGATATTGGAAAATGCAACTTCTCAGGGGTGCAACACAGCAGGAGTTTTGAATGTAAAAGGAGAACACAAAAGCAGATAAAATTGCCACCTGCACTTCATCTTGGTGGACAGTAACAGTAGAAGACCTAATCCCATTGAGACAATTGAACTGACGTCGGTCGGTAAAATAGTCGTGCATCCAATTCAAAGGTGTGACGAGAGATTATAGTACAGTAGCAGTGACAATAGGATGCTTCTGTCAGCAGAGTTAAACGCGTCTGTGTAGTCCAAATAATAAACATGAAACATTTTGTGGTTTTGGGCAAACATTTTTCAAAATTTTTCACGGAAGCAAAATATTTATTGAGCTCACATGAGACTATAGTAGGTAAAATTGAACGACAACAGAGCAACTTCAGTTCGTTCCATTGCCGACGAGAGGATTTGCGTTCTGGCACGGTGTCAACATACAACTGATTGAGATGGGCTTTCTTGATTCTGATATCGAAGTTGACATATTTGACCGTCAGTTTTGTCTCTTGAGCGATACGCCCTTTCTTTCAGCCTACGGAACCATTTCAGTCTATCAGAAATGAAGCAGTTGGGCTGTAAGTAAATTATTTCTTGAGGGCAGTCCACATCATAGGAAAACCTGTCGGGGCAGTCAGCTTACATGCTGACTAGTATATGCCATATGCCTCTGTAAGTTGGATGGGTAAATTCGAATGTGAAAAGATCAGTACTATCGGTATGACCTTGTAGCTCAGCTGGTAGAGCGTGCGCGTACAAATCGTAGGCGGCGTCCATGCGTCGGTTCCAATACCACCGAGGTAACTGAACTTTTCACAATCGACATAGAAACTTCAAATCCGCCAAACAACAATTTGAAAGAGTGGCTATGGTTGGTAAGGTTCTCACAGGAAACTGGAATTTCGGGATCGGAGAGTTATGTAAGTCCGTACCGCCAACCATGGATTTGAATTCCATCCAGTTGGCCAGATTATTTTGTCCTTCACTTATCTTACGTGCATTTTTCTTCCTCAGGATTAGTTGTTTGCATTTACCATATGTTGTAGGTAAATCTTTATTTAGATAGGGATCGAAATTGCCTACATTTGAAGGCACAAAAAGATGGTTCGGTAACG